AATGGGAAAGGGGGGTGTATATTATCGTAGCGAGTCATAACCAGTGTAGTTTATGTTTCACGACTAAAGTATAAGCGAGCTAAGCTTTTTTCCGCTATAGCAATTTATTACCTGTTTAATGAGAGCTATTGTCCGAGAATACTAAATTTAAAGCTTGTTTCCGTGTATACTAAATTTAAAGCTTGTTTTATGAAAGTTTGTTTGTGGGGGTGAAACGCCGTGGTGTCCCTGTGGAGGATCTGAGCGAATGTTGGGAAAGAATAACCCAAGTGTTTGTTATGCGCGATTAATTAATTGATATGCCAATTGCCACGAAGATAATTTGTGTTACGAGCAGCAGAATAGCTAAGTAGCAATTGGTTATTCATGCCGTTCCGATCACTTTGCAGTTATATCAAGTAAGTTTGCGCTGGCGCAAAACAAACAAGATGAGCTGTTGTTTATATTACTACAGTTCGTCAATACAAGGCTATTAATAGATTAGGCTTGCTAACAGCTGTGATTCCGGACAGGTAATTCCACTTCCATCAGTAGATTTTGAAGCAAGCTAATATAAGTGGGAGTTCAACAAGGAACAGTTGGTTATGTAGCAGACCGACTGTTCCTCCATTCCTGATTCCCAACGGCATGATGACGAATCAACAGCCCAAGTCAGCGCATGAATCAGACCAGAATAGAAATGCAATTCTTCAGCATTCGGAAGAACTTGAATAACCCAAGTTGCCTATTATCAAAGGAGAACTAAGAACTTGGTATTGCGACAACCTTAATCCAGATACTGTTATAGTACATCTAGTTGTGGTAAGGTTCTCTGAAAGCAAGGCCTAAGCGGAAAGCACAGCAATGCAACGTACAAAATGCTAACACCTCAACAACTCAAGCACTTACAAGTATGAACCATGAGGAGAAAAAGTTTCAGAATACACGGTAATTTGGAATTTTCACTTACACATTGTATTATATACCAACCTTCTATCGGGGTATTCTTGACGATACCTAAGCAAGGGTACCAAGAGCGATACCAGCACTAACAGTCTTCGGTGATATTTGAAGCCCGCGGATAGGAATAGGAATAGAATATATATGGATCTGATATCCCTACTCATTTCCTCAGAGAGCAGAAAATTGTCTAGGATTTAAGCTTATTTGTAGATCTACATCCCCAAATACGAATTTACAGACATAAACTACATAAAGCTACTTATCGAGGTACCATTCTAACCAACACTCTTCATTGACTGGTCTCAGAGTATAAGAATCATACATTGTCATCTTCTCTTCGTCAGTTCTATTGTCCCCTACATTTCTCGACCCCAAACTAAGTGGCGCAGGGTCTAGCCCAGGTTCTTCACTGATTGCCGTGACTACTTCGCACCAATTAGGATCGATCCGCGAATTAAAATGCCAATAAAGATTTGCAATTACTAATTTCATCTCAATAAGTGCCAAGTTCATCCCAAGACACATTCTGATACCTTTACCAAAGGGCATCATATATTTTTGTTGTAGTTTTATCCTTTCTTTATAATTTTGTTCGGATTCATGTTCATATGACAACCAACGTTCAGGTATGAACCGATCTGGGTCTGGGAATATGGCGGACAGACGATGCATTGCATAGGGTAGACATGATATAACGGTCCCCACGGGGATAGCAATCGATTTTCCATTTTCTAAATCCAATAGGTATGGTTTAGGTACAACCCGTGGCTCAGCACCTGGGATGGATGTATGTACTCTTGAATTCTCATCACGAAGTGCATTTAGGTAGGGTAGTTTATCAACAATTTCCAAATCGTCAATAATAGAATCCAACGATGCTGGTTTACCAAAGGTTTCAAAGAGTTCTTGCTTTAACCTTGTTTGTTTGGAGAGGTTTCCAGGACGGGATAACTCGTAACATAGATATGAAAGCTGGATTGCCGTTGTTTCATGCCCAGCAAAGATGTTATCAGTCAAGAAGGAATAGGCGTATTCGCCTTTGAGTCCACTTTTCTTCAAGGCTTCAAAAGTAGTCGGATTCTTACCATTATTAGCAATATTTTGCTCTGCAATACGATACAATCCCAATTCAAATTGGAGAATATCTTTTGCTGCTTGTAGTATTGATCTATCGGCTGCCCAATCCCAGAATCTCGGCATTAGGGTTGTCCAGAAACCCATGCTAGAAACTAGTCTATGACTGACCACTATATGTCTTTCTTGAGGCTCGAGTAAAAGATTGGTTCCGTTTTGGATTCCTAATTCAAACTGGGACACTACGTCCATTGCAAGGGATCCAAAGAGGGTATAAACGTCAATACCTAGATTAGTTGACTTTTGATCTTTGTTAAACCAACCAGGTTCTGATCTTCCCTTTCCATGAGGATTCATTCTAGAAGTAGCATTAAAGTAGTCTGGTTCACTAGCAACGACGGAACTTTTATACACGGCACTAACCAAGTTTTTTGTTGTTTCAATTAGAATCTCTCTAGTATTGTTACTTTTTGACATTATAGCTGACTTGCTATATAAACCCATAATAAGTTTCTTATACCCCAAATGTCGATCATTTTCCAAACTGGCAAATATATTATCTTTAAACCCATGATTCCTAAAATTTTCATAAAATTTAGATTTGGGGAAGTTTTTGGTATAAATGTCAGTTATAAATTTGGGATCATCATTTACACTTATTTCATTGGGAGATAATATAACCACTTTGCCATGTCTTAAATGTAATTTGTAAACTTCTTCTGTCCAAGTACCTCGTCTTTGGGCATTTAAGGAAGGAATATAACTGACTCGGTGCGAATATGGCCCTGGGATATGACGTAGGGGAGAAATCAAAAATGGAACGATGACATAATAATAGATAAGAAGTGATGTTATTACAAGAAGCTGGGATTGGTAGGGATGATGATAGATGTAACTGTAACCCCACGAAAACAACTGACTCAACATGATAGTAAATTTACTTGAGAATAAATTCAATTCATTTCCAAATTTCAATCGAGGTTGAGTCACCCTTTCTTATCAGCAAATCCTTTCAAACCAGTAACTCATCCTAAATAGGAAATTTATTCCGCCCGGGTTAAAAAATTCTTGAGAACGGGGTTCTCGGTCGCCTAGACTTAAGATCGATTATATTTAGCGCGATATCGATATATCTGGAAGTGTTGAACAATGTAGAAGATGCATTCCACTACTTGAATATAATTTGTACTTTTGGTAATCACCACTCTGGATCGTGCAAGGCATCTGGGTGCGAAAAATGAAGCAACATAGACTATCTCTCCAATCCATACAGTTCACTATCCCTGTAGCGATTTCTTGGATTGATCTGATACAACGATATCTGACCTTGAATCTAACCTTAAATATATAAAGACGTCCTCTGTGAATATATATATGAGATGCTCTTGCGTTGTAGTTGTGGTTGCAAATTAACTTCTCGCTTCTACTACCGTTTTGAATGATGATCACAACGGGATTTAAGGGCTAGTACCGAAGCCAACGCAAGAACTCGTTTTCTTTACGTTAGTTTCCCAAAGTGAATAGACAACGAGTGAATGGGTAGCGATCTCTCAATACCTCTCGTCTCTCTTCGCACCCGTAAGACTATACTCCACAAGAACAAGATGATAGCATTTAGCCCCCTATACTTTGTACCTGTAGGTCTGGTTTTTATTCTGAGAATTGATGGTGGGATGGACTAAGTTTTTCCCTTGTGGTTTTCTGGAAACATAAACCTGACAAGTATTAGTTACTGATAATATGGTCCTTTTTATCAACCTGATAATCCGTTTTCGGACTTAGAGAAAGACTAGTACGGTAGCCATTCCCTCCAGAGGGTAGAATAGAAAGTGCTTATTCCGAGATAATCAAAACCTGGAACTAGTAATCCATATCCTATATAAAAAGTCATATGAAATTTTGCAACCTGTTTTCCCTTTTAGCGCGAGCCAGTGCTACAGTTCTAATCATACAGAGAAGGGGAAGATGGAACACTCGATCGTATAAAAATAATAAATTTTCCAGATTTCTTTTTTTTTTCTCTTAACTCCTGTTTGGACTTAAAAAATATTTTATTTTTCAAAACCATCTGATTTTTTGATTTAGGAAAAAAAAAACCCAACGGATTTTATTTTTATTTTTCATAGAAAAAAATTTGTTGTTTTTCTCTTTCTTCTCTTCTTTAACCCCTTAATCAATCCACAGTAAAGAAGAACAAGATGTCCACAGCAGAAGGAGTTACTCGTGCAGTAGTTGAATCCGAGGCCAATCCTTTGATTGTATTTGCCAGTGTTTTCACATTCATTTCATCAATAGTAGCTTATTATTTCCTTCAATTATCAAGAAAGAATAATACATCTCAACCTATTTTAAATCCTGAAGAATTTAAAAAGTTTCCTTTAATTGAAAAGATTAAAGTTACTCATAATTCTTCTATCTATAGGTTCGGATTACCTAAATCAAGTGATAAATTGGGTTTGCCTATTGGTCAACATATTTCTATTGGTGCTACCATTAATGAAAAAGAAATCGTTAGATCTTATACTCCAATTACAAATGATGATACCCTTGGTCATTTTGATTTATTAATTAAGACTTATGAAAATGGTAACATTTCCAAATTTGTTGCTGAAAAGAAGATTGGTGATATGATTGACATTAGGGGTCCAAAGGGGTTCTTCAAATATACTCCAAACATGGTTTCTTCATTCGGGATGATTGCTGGTGGAACTGGTATTGCACCAATGTATCAGATCATAACTGCTATCTTGAATAATCCTGAAGATAAAACCAAAATTAGTTTACTTTATGCCAATGTAACTGAAAATGATATTTTATTAAGAGAAGAATTAGAAAAATTACAACAAGTTAAACCTGAACAATTTTCAATTCATTATGTTTTGAATGAAGCAGGTGATCATTGGAAGGGATCTATTGGATTCGTTACTCCTGAATTAATGAAGAAGTGCTTACCTGGCCCAAGCGATGACCTGAATTTATTGTTGTGTGGTCCACCACCAATGATTAGTGCTATGAAGAAGGCTGCTGTTTGTTTAGGATTCGCAAAGGCTAAACCAGTCAGTAAATTAGGTGATCAAATTTTCGTTTTCTAAAGGAAACTAATTAATTTTAGCAGATTGAACAATCAGTCTGAATAGATTTCTTAGGAAACAATAAATTTATGTATAGTGTATAGAATCTTAGTTAGACAGAAGTGAATATACTTATTGTAATGTAAATTGTCTAGATAACTGGTTCACATAGAATAGGGGGAAATGATGACAAGTGTAGATTGCAAAAATGAGCTGAGGCTATGTGTATATCTAAAATCTAATCGTATTGCCGTTCCTTTACCGATCGTTCATTGTTCTCTGTTGTAGCTATGCGTAAACGAGAGAAGAAAAAATAAATTCTTAATTATAATTCTAGAACCGGTCCCCCCCTGTTGCGGTTGTTGTGTTGTAAAAACTGGACTATAACAACACGCGGTCAGATCTCGATACGACCATTGGAATAAGAGATCCATAAACAAGTGATTACTATCTTCTTTTGATTCAATGGCATTCTCCTGCATGTTTATGTATTGGTTGACCACATTTGATTGCTTGCTTGAGCCCAACATTACAAATTAATCGATTTTCAAACCCTTAGAAGTGTTAGTTCTACAAAGTTATTAACTTGACATATCTCCAAGTGTGTATTGTACGTCATAATGGTTGCATTGGCTGATGTGAATTTCAATTGTCAATTTATAACCGTGTACGTATGACCAAGAAATCCGGATAGTCCTGCATATAATCCAATCGCACGGTGAGATTTTATCCATTTAAAAACGTGATCGATTTTTTATCCGATCAAACCATCCCCCTCATATAAAACAACTTAATTTAAGCAACACACTTTTGCTTTCTTCTTCTTCTTATTTATATGGTATCGGTATTCTAACTTATAAGTTATATACAAACAACAACAACAACGAGAACAACAACAAAAACAAGAACAAGCAGCTAGCAACCATGTTAGTACTACACATTGATTTACTACTTCTTCTACTAGTTGCCTTTCAATCAATAGCAACTGCATCCATTTCATCGTTTAATGTAGAAGATAACTTCATAATAAACACAATACAACATGACTCCGATAGGGAAATGCATATTAACAATATCTTAAAAGACCCACTTAAATATAAAGATTATCCTCCTATCATTTCGTTCCCACAGTTAAAACAACGTACCCTTAAAGATGGAGAAATACCTCAATACGTACTTGATTATTGTCCTGTGGTTTATCTTTATAGTGAAGAGCGTTATCTCCCTTATGACATCCAACAGTACGTCACAAATTTCAATGCTACTTATGGAAACGGTACTATTATTGCTGATAATCTTACCTTGAAGAAGCTTGGTAAATTACCTAAATCTCAAGATATTTATCTTAGTTCATTACAAGATTTCACTAAAAATCCAGAATGGATCACTGGTTTGAAAAATAAACCAAATCTCGTTAATGGTGAGATTAAAGATGCACCAGCAACCTTGATTGTAGTCGATAAGGGGAATGGTTGGATAGATGCATATTGGTTCTATTTCTATTCATTCAACCTTGGTCCATTCGTAATGGGGCAAGGTCCATATGGAAATCATGTTGGTGATTGGGAACATTCTTTGGTTCGTTTTTATAAAGGTGAACCAATTATTGTCTGGATGTCGGCCCATGGTGGTGGAGGGGCATTTTATTATCATAATTTAGAGAAATATGATGATAGTAATCATCCAGTTATATTTAGTGCTAGAGGAACTCATGCTAATTATCCAAGTGTAGGACAACATCCTCATGATTTACCCTATGGAATATTAAGTGATTTTACTGATCGTGGACCATTATGGAATCCACTGAAGAATTATTTGGGGTATACTTTTGATGGGAAAAGAATTTATCCTACAACAAAGAATGCTAATCTGAAACATTCAGGTAGAGAATTGGAATATGGCAATTGGTTGTCATATTCTGGTCATTGGGGAGATATGAAGTTAGATGACAATGACCCAAGACAGTCTTATAGTTTCATTGGTGGTACTAAGTATATAGATGGTCCATTAGGACCTTTGATGAAAAATTTAATGAGATTAAAACCATGTGAAAGACATAAATGGTGGAATTTCTGGGATGGATGTAATGTTAGAGAAAATATTAAATGGGGTATAGGGGTTGAAAGTGAAGGTTATAATTGCGGGAATATGTTTATTAATGTAAAACCAAAATGGATAAGGAATGGTTTACAAAGGGTTACTTGGGGTGGTGGATTATGTTTTATAGTGGACTTGATTTATGGTTGAGAGAGCCTTTTTTTTTTGATAAATCATCCATAATGAAATAGAATTATATATTTAATTATTTAATGTTTAATAAATTAATTGCTTAATGGAACAAAAGGGTGCAAATTGACCCGACAAAGGGGAGTAAGAAAGCTTCCAAAAAAAGCAACTGAAGAGTATTTTTCCTACAGTAAGTCACGCAAGGGGCAGTAATGCAGCAGTGTATTCACCCAGGACCTGTCGATCAGCCCCTGAATTAAGTTAAGAATTCAAAGTGAGGTAAACAGCTTTTAAGTTAAGAATTCAGCGAGGTAAACAGAATTTGCTCTTTTGTTTCTTTTAGTTAGGGGCCATGGCCATCAAGTTGTTTTTCCAGAAGGTTGCAAGCAAAAAGAAATATTGACAGCAATTCATTGATTTTCTCATTTTACTGAAATGGACCAAGGTTAATCATTAGAAGTAGACAGCTGAGAAAAGCAATTACAATGGTCTTATCCCTCTATTTGCAATACATCTCCCAACAGGGGGGGATTCTGCAATCTGATGCGTGGAAAGAAAGGGGGATTTACATCGCCGTGATTCATTTTGACAGAGTCAGTAATATTCAAGGCAATCAGAAAAAAAAGAAATTAAATTTACGAGATTTTTCTAATTATTTTTTATTCCCATCGAAGCTTAGGGTTCCTTAACTGCAAAAAATTTTTTTTAATGCCGTTATATAAAAGATTTCATCTGCTGCCCATAACAAAATCGAAATAACACAATCTTCTCGTTCCTTATCATCTTACCCCCCCTTCCTTTTTCACTCAATTAAAACAAGCCCCCCCTCTCTTAATGCATAATGTTTAAAGAGGACTTTATTACCAAGGGTAAAACCTCCCAAGAATATCAACTAACAACAACTAATACCTCTACCACATCACCTTATACACAACCACAACAAGGTAGATGGCAATCATTCAAGGACTCCTTTAAACCAGCTGTTGAATATGAAAAGCTTGCTAGTCCCAGTTATAAGGATGATGAAGAATTAACTGATATCCAACGTATTAACCTTAATACCTCCAGTTCCAACCTTCACCGTAAATTGAAGAATCGTCATCTTCAAATGATTGCAATTGCTTCGTCTATTGGGTCAGGATTATTAGTTGGGACTGGGTCTGCTTTGAATACCGGTGGACCAGCAGGTCTTTTAATTGCATGGTCTATTTCAGGTGTAGCCATTTTATGTACAATTCAAGCCATGGCGGAATTGGCCGTAACTTTCCCCATTAGTGGATCTTTTAATGTTTATGCTAGTAGATTTATTGACCCAAGTGTGGGTTTTGCTGTTGCTTGGAATTATTTCTTACAATACCTTGTGTTGCTTCCTCTTGAATTAGTGGCAGGGCTGATGACAATGCAGTACTGGAACACATCAATTAATCCTGATGTGTGGGTTTTAATCTTTTATGTGGTTGTTATTTCAATTAACTTTTTCGGTGTCAGAGCTTATGGTGAAGCTGAATTTACATTTTCTTTCTTGAAAGTCTTGGCTGTTATTGGGTTCATTATTGTGCTGATTGTGTTGGCAGCTGGTGGAGGTCCAAACGGACACCACCATGGTGCTGAGTATTGGCATAAACCTGGCCCATTTGCAAATGGATTCAAAGGTGTTGCCAGTGTCTTTATTACTGCTGCATTTTCTTTTGCTGGAACTGAATTAGTCGGATTAACTGCGGCAGAAGCTGATCAACCTAGAAAATCCTTACCTAAAGCTACTAAGCAAGTCTTTTGGAGAATTTTGATGTTTTACATGGTTAGTTTAACTTTGATTACATTCTTGGTTCCATATGACAACGAAAACTTATTAGGAGCCTCAGGCGTATCTGCCTCTCCATTCGTTATTGCTATTAGAGATGGTGGAATCGGTGGATTGCCATCAGTTATGAATGCTGTTATTTTGATCTCGGTAATCTCTGTTGGATCTTCATCCGTCTATGCCACTTCTAGAACACTTGTTGCTTTAGCTGAGCAAGGATTAGCTCCAAAGATTTGTGGATATGTTGACCGTGCTGGTCGTCCATTAGTTGCCATTATGATCACTAATGTATTTGGATTATTAAGTTTCATTGCTGCCTGTGGGAAACAAGATGAAGTTTTCACTTGGTTATTGGCTATTTCTGGTTTAAGTTCAATTTTCACATGGCTTTCAATTTGTTTGGCACATATTAGATTTAGAACTGCTTTAAAGTACAACGGAAGAAACACAGATGAGTTGGCCTTTACTTCACAAACTGGTGTTATTGGATCTTGGTTTGGTGTTATCTTAAATTCTCTTGTTTTGATTGCTGAATTTTGGTTGGCCATTTTCCCATTAGGAGAAGCTTCGAGTGCGCAAGGTTTCTTTGCTAGTTATTTAGGTTTTGTTATTTTGATTGTCTTTTATATTGGTCATAAGATTTGGAGACGTAATTGGATCTTATTTATTAGAGCTAAAGATATTGATATTGATTCTGGAAGAAGAGAAACTGATTTGGAAGCTTTGAAACAAGAATTGGCAGAGGAAAGAGAAATCTTGAGATCTAAGCCGTGGTGGTTTAGAGTATATAACTATTGGTGTTAACGTTAGTATTATATAGACTTATTTTAATAGATTATGCATTATTTCATGGAATATTCCATACAGCCTGATTTTCGTTTCTGCTGTAGCCTACGACCTAGAAGGAAACTACACCACATACAACACGGCAGATTAAACTCACTATACCGATCAGTAACATCGCAACAGAATGAGATCCAAGTAGATGCATCTCTACCTATATCTCACAACAAAATTTATTTGGTGAAGATTCGTCAGAGGAGGTGAAAAAATTCTTCCATTCAATTCTCACCGCCAAAACCTTCCACCATTATCGACAAAAAAAAAAATTTAAATAATAAATTGGGTTATCTTATCTAAACGATTAAAATCTGTCTTATCAAAAATCAGTCAATCATTTAAAACCACTTTATAAAGAAAGTAAATGTCAACGCACCATCCTAATACGGGTATAAGTAGTGTATTCAAATCAATAACCAAGTCTTTTAAACAGTCTTCTACCCATGCTGCTCACTCACCGTCGAAGACCAGTACTATAAACACGACTAAAAGAGTCCCGGTATTAATAAATCCAACTATTGTAGGGATTGGTGTTAGCGGAGGAGGAAGCGATGTTGTTCAAGAACTTCAATCACTTTTACAACAATTGCAACCCAATAATGGTGTCAGCAATTCAACCAAAGTTTCGACAATGGAACGTGTTATTGAATGTGTTGCCAAATATAATGTATCTTCATCCCTAGCTGAAATCTGGTATTTTGTACGCGATTATGCCAATCCTACGAATTCTTCCGGTAGTAGTAGACTTAGGAGGCTGACATTGAAATTATTAGTTGAATGTGTGAAAAATGACAAAGGTGGTAGCAGCAGTAGTGGTAATGTAGGTAGTGGAAATGGTGTTATTGGGACAAGACTGAATTATTTCAATGATGTAATTAGATATTGCAAACATACTATTTCCAAGAATATGGATCCAGATTTTGATTTATTTTTAGAGACGGTACTGGTATTAACTGATAATGGAATAAATGTTCATGATTTCTTAATATATGACGATGATAAACGTAGATTGGATGGATTTTTAGAAGCAAGTTTGAGTGTGATGAGTTCCTCGGCAAGGAAGTATAAATTTGAGTCCGAGGAACGAGATGCTGAGTTAAAAAGTACAGATGATGAGTTTTCTAATTTAATTGAATTATTAGAATACGTGAAGAATTGTTTACGCTATAATTATACAACCTTAAATGAATCATTAGTTAATTCCATAATTTATTATGTAACCAAAATTGGAAATGTGACGATGAATAAACTGATTTTGTACTCAGTTGTTGGAGTTTTAAATGCAATGTTTATATTCGGGAATTTCCCCTCGGATAATTTTGGTAGGATTCTAAAATTATTATCTTCAATCTTGGGATCAGGTATTGATAACCTGCTAAATGATATAGTTTGGGAATCAGTCATGAATTTAACTCAAGATGAGACATTTAACCTAGTTATAAAAAACCTATGTGAAAATATTGCAAATCCAGATCTACAACGATATCGAAGAAATCAAAGCCAGTCGGATTATCAACAGCATCACCGACAGCAACAATACCAATTCCCTATAGCCCCTGAAAATTCACCTATTTATTCCTGTATTGGTTCATTTCAGCTCATTCACAAACTACACCTCCAGAATGCTATTGAAGCTAACACAACTTCTACAATCAACTCCATATCAATAGAATATAATTACTTTAAAATCATTCGAGCTTCAAAAGTCGCACTTTCGTATAATATTCCAATGATAAATACGGCATATTTACGAAGCATGGATAAGCTATTAGCCAAAGAATCGTATTTTGATAACTTCGGTATTCGATTCACGGATTCATTTGAGAAGATTTTGCCATTCCAAATGTGGTATTCTAATAATTGTTCCATTTATGATATCTTAAAGAGTTTAAAGGTGAATAATCATCTGGATAAAAGGTATATCGAATCAATATGTGATTCGTTACAACTGTTGTATGAAAATCATGAATTGCCGACTCCTAAAGATAAGTTGATTCTGTTCTTCTTGTATAATAGTTTCGATATACCTGCAGGACTGAGGTTATTTGTATTGAAGTATTATGAAGAGGAGAAATTATGCTCTTTGTTGAGTCCATTTTGGAAGGATAATTGTTTGAAGATTTTGAATTGTTTTTACTATGATTATGATGAAGGCGAGGAACAGGATGACGCGATACTGGAAGTCAGAATAAAATGTTTGGAAGTTATGTTGAATGGATTACGGATTTCAAATTCAATCTTTGCTAGTCTGGATGTGAATTATGATTTGATTATTGATATTTTTAAACGTTCCAAACGAGAAACAGATGAATCTGTATTGAACTATTTAATTGACGAAGTGTTTTCATATGTATGTTTACAATCACCAACTCCTGTTTTCAGACAATTAATGGGTATTATTATTCCATTATATATCGAGAAAAGACCCGTCACAAAACCAGAATCCATTTATTCCCGAAGTTTTGTATCCATAAGTTCCCAAGCATCATCTACCAATAATTCCGCCAATCAGACCAGTAAGAAATTTTTGGAAACTATTACCAAAGGATTAATATTAGTATTTTTAAAATGTTGCATTGAAAATCCAGAAAGAGCTCTGGAAACATTTGATCTATTGATTTCAGTTGCCGAGAAATGTTCCAATTCAGCTAACAATTCCAACATTTTGTTAATATTATGTAAATTGTTTGTTAGGATTCGTGTCACTAAAGAATTCTACGTGTATGTTACTCAACCAAGTGATATGATGGGATTAGCATCTGCATTCAAACGTGACGCTGCCAACACTCCACAATTGGATAGTTACAAATGGTCATATCCTGAACATGTATCTTATTTGCGAGAAGATTGTTTCAATAAACCTAACAAGAAGTTATTACTTAAATTGAATGAAGATAATTATTCGGAAATTGGCAAATATTATATTGATATTCGAGCTTGGATTAGATTGGCATTGAAGGTGATGCAAACATTTATTAGCTGGGAATGTTATTCCTATGTATGGGGTCATTTATGTACCCAATTATCCAATATGAATTTATTTATGCATTGTGAAGAAGAGATTGTTGAATTGAGGAAGGTAATTTGTGAACAATTAACTTTGAATTTACCATCTCAATTAGTTTTGCCTGCAGCGGTTGGTGGATCCGAGATGACAAAAGGTGATTTACAAGTTGCATTTGTTCGGAGTCTTTCAGCCTTAATTGGATATCATGACCGATTTTCCAAATTTGACGAGGATCAAATTGTGAATAGTTTAATATTTGGATTGAGTTCATGGGAAAAGACGGCGATTCCGTGTATTAATATCTTGACGGTTTGTTGTTATGAGATCCCAATGTCAATCAAGAAATATCTTGGATTAATTTTGACCAAATTACAAACAAGAGTTACATCAGTATATGCCAGTACACATACATTGGAATTCTTAATGAGTTTGATCCATTTACCAACCTTGACATCAAATTTTACCATGGAAGAATTTAAACGTGTGTTCGGGATTGCATTTAAGTATATCGAATATGCCAATGATGCCCAGATCAGAAAGTTACAAATTGACTCAACTGCCCCGGAAGAGAATATATCGTTTATTCAGACACACGGAGTCGATGCGGAGGTTGAACAAACCCCACTGACGCAACAACAACAACAGATTGGGGTGATAAATATATTATCCCAATATATTCGTATGATGGCTTATAATGTGATTGCCAATTGGTTTCTAAAGATAAATGTCTATGATAGAAAGAAACTATCCTCTTTTATTGTTAAGAATTTGATTTCTTGTCAAAACAAATCGACTTTATTAGATGAACAAACGAGAGGGTTTTTGGATTTCATAGTTCGTTTCACGTATAGTAATGTACCCTTGTCATTGATAATGAATAGTGGTACTACAGGTAATTATGATGTTGAAAAGAGAGAAACAATTTTGAATCGATGGATAATTGGTGATTGTTCGATTCTTAGTATTGAAACTGATCAAGCTAATGGTGATAGCAATATTATAATCAGAAGGCCCACAGGAATGACTAGATTAAAAGTGCAATTAAATGGTGAAGATGCAGTTACTAAAGGAGTTGTACATCATCCAAATTACTTTTTATTACAATTGTATGATAATAATATGGATAAAAAACATAAACCTATTCCTATCATTGAGGATTCAATTGTGTTGAGAGCTTTAGCGGTACTTGATCGGATCCCAGGAGTTGAATTCCACAAGGTTGGTATAGTCTATATTGGCAAAGGACAAACTCAAGAGAATGAAGTATTGAGAAATAAAGTTGGTTCGAAAGATTATCAATTGTTTTTAAGTAAGATTGGTCAGTTGATTAAATTGAAAAATAATAAGAGTGTATATGTTGGCGGATTAGATACGGAGAATGACGTAGATGGTGAATTTACCAGATATTGGCGAGATAAGACTAGTCAAGTCATTTTTCATATAACAACCATGATGAATAATACTGAAGAAAACGATCTTGACGAGGATGCTGGAGAAGTACAGAGGTCGATTGATTTAAAGAAAAGGCATATTGGGAATAATTACGTTAATGTATTTTTTGATGAATCAGATAAGGAATTTAATTTCAATTTAATTAAGAGTCAATTTAATTTCTTAAGTGTTGTTATATCACCTTATGCTATATCTAAAAATATTACAATTGAAGGAGATGATGACAACCTCAAGAAAGATATAAAATTTTTCAAAGTTAAAACGTTTAGAAGATCTGGAGTTCCAGCAATATTTGCAACATGTCATTTCAAAATCATTAGTCAAGATAAATTACCTAATTTTATTAGGAATTTAGTTATACTTGCTAATGAATTTGCTACAGTTTGGCATAATAATCCAGGAACATCATATACATCTAATTGGGCCCAAAGGGTTAAACAATTACAGACATTAAAGAAAAAAGCTCAAGAGAATTATCAGGAGAGTTTAAAGAAAGAAGAAGAGATTAAGGAACAACAACAATTCACAAGTGATTATCAAGATAAATCTTCTAATGGATTAATGACTGCTCAGTCACTCTTTGAACAATTGAGTGGAAGTGGCGGTGTCAATAGTGGCACAGTTCCTCCAAGTACAACCGGTAATAGTAATGCCCTTAATGCTAGTGGGATTATTAATAGTAACAAAGAAATATACAATGACTATACATTTAGTCCAAATGAAACTTTGAATGAATTATATCAATTGGTTGAATTCAATTCTTATACTTCATAAGTATTGCTGACAAAAACAATCACAAGAATGATATACTTTTAGCGAAAAGAGGGGGGGACAATTTTGACATAATATAGTATTTATAGTAATAATTATAGATAATTTAGAGAGTAAAATGGTGTACTGTATACACCCGATTACTAATCAAGAATTTTCAATTCTTTTTTTTGCGGGATGTTTCTTTGTGTAGGGAGAGAGGCAGTATTTATTTACATTACTAATTAATGGGATGAATTTATGCCTTGCGTGGGAAAAAGGTGGAGATAGATGGAGGGGAATATGGATGAAGCTAACTGTGTTGAACAATTACTTATAGTGTTCATAAAGAGATAGAAATATCAAGTGTGGATTAAATATTGTTTACCATACATTAGAGTATTGTTACAATTATTAACCAATAATTGTATAATCTGTTAATAGTAAGAAATATCGGAATATCGGCATTTGAAAAATTGAAAAATTCACAGCCGCAATTACGTAATCGAGAGAAAAGAATATCCGAAGAACAAAAAAAACAAAAAAAAGAAAGAAAAAAAAAAAAATTATTTTGTTACACATTATATTATTAATCCATACAATATTATACATATAAAATAAATCGCAAACGGTTTTATTTAAAATCGATGTTCTTCTCTCTTTTTTTTTTATATATTTTAGATCCACATATACTACTATTTACTTTACCTGAAAAAGTGTAACTTATCAAGTTGGTATCTGCTCACTTTCGTTTCCATCATGAGTCAACCACCATCGATTCTTCAACAGAGAGCCATTGAATCAATAACCAATACCCTCAAATTCCAAAATGAGGCTGTTAATAATCTTTACCAACAATATAATGATAATCTAGAATCATCATATTCGATGAATCAACTATTACAATCAACAATAACTATGTACGAAACTATAAAATCCAAAAAGGGTAAGATAATAATATCAGGTATTGGTAAATCATACAAAATAGCCAATAAATTAGTAGCCACCTTAAATTCTTTATCTATTCAATCAGTTAGTTTGCATCCATCCGAGGCATTACATGGTGATTTAGGTTGTATAGAGAATAACAAGGATTGTTTGATTATGGTCACAGCAAGTGGTAATACCCCGGAATTGATCAATTTATTACCTCATTTATCTTCAGAACTACCTATAATTTTATTAACTTGTAATAAAATATCAAAATTACTGCAACATTCACAAATTTCAAGTCTAATTTATGCCGATCTTCCCTCAGAATTAAATGAAAATTCTATACATGGGTTACCTGCTCCAACAGTCTCAACTACATTGTCTTTAATATTAGCAGACGCTACCATTTTGGCACTTTCGGAAATGCTTGAAGGCGATTTACTTGTTAGGAAAAAGATGTTTTCGGAAAAGCACCCCGGAGGTAGTATTGGTGCGACCTTATCCAACGAATTTAAGCTGGTTCCCGTGGCCGGTATTACTGTAGCAAGAAATCCAATCAAGCCTATATCATCTAATGATTTTAGAATATTTAGACCCCTGGCGGTTCCAATAAATCAACCAAGTTCATCAACATCGTCTTCTTCTTCATCAGAATCCTTATTTAGTCTCGGAAAATCAGTTGCTGCAGCAACCACAATGTTAGCCACCCTGTCTACAGCATACAGTAGCAATTGCTCCTCCGATACAGATGAGCCAGATATTTATATAAATGCCACGCCCCATCCTATACTGCGAGATCAAAGGCAAAGGCCCCCAATTGCAAAAAGTATAAAGATCATCACTTATGAAGAAGTATTTCAACTACAAGAACTTGAATTGTTACAATGGATAACTATTTACGATCAATTATCTATTGTGAAAACTAATTCGAAGGTCGATTGCAGAGATATTAAGAATATATATTTGGATTATTGCAAATTGAATGAAAAGGATTGGGCTAAATTTAAATGGGATTTAATGAAATTATTCAACTAAGCAAGTTGCTAAACAAAAAACAAATGGAGTTTTTGGAAGTGGGTTTATTTATGACTTTGTTAGGTATTTATTAGTAATTTTGTTTCCCCATAGCAGGTTATGCTAATTTAATAGATTGTATTTATTTTTATTTTGACGTTTGATCACAGGCTGCGGGCCCGTGTTATGTAGTTTAAAGGAATCTGTCATTATGCAGTTTCATATAAAAAGCTAGTCAAGGCTAATCGGAGGGCTCCATAGATATCGACGACAATTTGTCTCTATTAAAATACAAACTCTATTAACTTTTTCTATTAAACATTCGATTCCTTAGATTGTTTTAAATATTGGGCAAATTTACTTGTTTCATGGATACCACATTCAGTCTTTGCCTGTCCTTTCCATCTTCCACTTCTCTCATCTTCTCCATCGGCAACAGGAACAGTGGAATGCCAATCACCAATCGATTTGTAACCCAAGTCCAATAATTCATTGTATGGGACGTCGTTCTCATCAATATATGCCTTCACCAGAGCGAAATCCCAATTCCATAATGGGTTGATTTTGATTATTCCACTAGTTTCTTCGATTTCTAATATTTTCAAACTACCACGAGCACCACCTTGAGATTGACGACGACCGGTTAGCACCGCATTTACGCCAAGAGTCGAATATGCACGTTGACTTGGATCTACCTTCACAAGGAAATCATAGTATGAATCATCGGTTTCCCAGAGTTGATCCCCATATTTAGTGGTGAATTCGGATTCGGTATTGACATCACGAGGTTTGAAAACATGAATCTTTGGTTTATATTTCGTTTCGACTTTGTTAACTAAATCATAAGTTTGTGGGAAATGATGAAGGGTATCAATAAAGATCAAGTCGATTAAATGGTCATTGTTTAACTCCTGGGATAACTTGGAGATTATGTCGATTGTCACCAATCCAGTTAATCCAAATGCAGTAGTTTGATACAAATTTGGAAAAGTATAATATGCCCACCTAATGATTTCAGATGCTGATAACGACTGAAGCTTTTCATTTAAGAAATCCAAATGATCGGGAGTGATATTGATACTACTAGGGGATACTGTCATTTTATTCCGGATAAGATTGTCTATCGTTTTACGAAGAAGAAGTTGGTTAGATGAGATTAATGTTGGACCAACTTGATAACTAATCAAGGAATTTTCCAAAATGGGATAAAATCACGTGATATGTTGCAACTTTTTTAGCACGTGATCCAAAGGTCGTGTGGTAATGTTCGTTTTTAAATTAGTTTCGGAGAACGGATAACAACTCCCAGACAAATCTGAAAAGGAAGAGATTGCTTCTCGTGATAGTCATCTCATAACTAGAAGTACTCTACCAAGTTACAACAAGTGTTGCCTGGACCCAGTCAACTTACAAACTTTGAAACAACCAGTGTTCTGTAAGCCCCATGTACAGAAGATGTCAAATACGAAGTTTTTCACACGATCAAACTTCGTAAAGCCCATCCAGTGTTAAAATGACGAATAAGAACGTAACGGGCTGAGCCCAGCACGTTCAAAGTAGAAGATCTCCCATAGAACATATTTACGAATTTTAGGATATTATTCATAATAGAACTGGGGGGGGGGGGCATTTTAGTTCCATTGTTTTAGTTCAGGTACGAAAACCGAACTGTTTCAATTCGTTGCAGTTTGCTGCAATTCGTTTTAATTTGCCAATCAAATGGACAGGTGATAGCTTACTCCGTTTCATCCAAAAGAGAACCTAGCACTAGGTTGTGACACTTTCTATTCACGAAATGGATACTTCGCCAACCATTGATTCGGACGGAGATGTGTATGGAAGAAAAATCCCTTTGTCTGTCGCTAAAAGTTACTCAAAACCGAAGAGGTGGAGCCAAAGTTCGTAAATTTAGCTATCATTATGTACATTTGAACCATAGTTGTTAAATGGTGAGTTAAACATTACAGATTCAATTTAATTCTTCTTTGCTTATTATTTTCTTCCTACTGCTTCGTGGGTTTGTCGATTTTCAGAGTGCTTGTTGAATTCCTCTTGGATTCTTCTCTTGCTTTAATGACCTCAATAATTTACAATGAGGTTGAGTTATAAGTAGGCATAAAAAATATTATATTTTATGGGTAAACAACTAAATAGTCTTTCAAAACGTCAAAAAATATTTCTCGTAAATTTTTGGAAAATAGTCCCAATATGCATGATGACTTACTGTACAAATTAATTATAAATTTATTTCGTAAACCGAATCTTGCTAGGTTTCAAAAATGGATATAAATATAAAGGCAAAGATGCACATAATTTCATTTAAAAATTTAACAGGAAATTAAAGCTTAACTTGGAATAATGGATTTGCATCATTCTAGTTTTATTGAAGATTATATCCCTCAACAGTTTCACTCGCTATCTGATATCGCAATATCACCACTGACCTTTCCAACGACGACTACATTCTCAAATTATACTTTGTCATGCAGGAACTGTAGAAGCATTCTATTTAATAATACAACGCCATCTGAATCGGTTATTACAGATGATAATATGGAAATCATGAACGACAGAATTCTAATACGTGAACTATACTGCCAGAAATGCCATACGTTTATTGGGTTCAAAATTGTTGATTTTAAACCCAACGAATATACTCTCATTCCAATGAACAATCAGCTAAAGGTCGAAGATATTTACTATGATATAAATAACTATCAAAATGATTTAATCCGCATTGAAAATAGCCTAAACCAAAGGGCCGAACGAATCAGCTTCGAAACTTTCTGGAAAAACAATCAACAACATATTGGGGATCATTACATTTATTGTGCAAATGTTATGATGAATGGCTTGATATCAATGAGAAGCTAATTAGGTTAAATTTCTCAAACTGTAATATTCTTGTTTGCTTTCGGCCGATTTTTTTCAAGCTGCGGGCAGTTTATATTGAAGGAGATCTGTCATAACTTTGACTGTATATATTCGTATAGGAGAAAATATAAGAAGATTAAAATTCGCCGCCTAAGCTTTCGAAAGGTGTAATTGCGGTGCATTAGCTAGATTCTGACTTCGTTTCTCAAGAACTTTAGATACCCAGAAACCCTTGCATCATAAGTATGAAGTAATGGACTGGGTTGCCTTTATCAATAGAGAGATCGCCTAAGCAAACAACGTTTTACGTCATCTCATTTCCCTTCCTCAATCTAGTTGCGTTTGATATCAGAATAGCTGGTGAAAAGTTCGAGTATGTTGGCCATGATCTTGTTAGAGTTGTCAATCAGACTAAATTACTACGTCTTGCTCTGAAAAACAAAAGGACGCCAACGGCTCAATAGAGATATTCACATTATGCGGAACTGGATTGCTGATATAGTGTTCTTAAATCGCACTTTCTGAATAGTTTTTTGATAAAACGATTGACTTACGCTATCTTTTGGTGGTTGGGGTTCGGTAGTTCCCCTGGTTTATTCTGAAGAGCCCCCCCTCCCCCCAGAAACAGTCTACTCGACTCCACTAGCTAAAATGACTTGCTACCCGTTGAACCTCTGCCATCATCTAATACTTGATCCCTTCTCCCTCTCAAGCTATATAAGTTTCGGACTTAGTAGGAAATATTAATTTGCAGTTTAAGCCCTCGCCTATTTCGCTTACCCTTGAACCAATGATGAGTTGCTGCAAATTTTTTTGCGTATATCTAAAACTTTGATTTATTTATTATTCGACTGATATTGGAAGATAATTTTGCTCATAGTTAGTTACTAAACTGTATTGAAAAGCTAAATTTGTTAAGTTTATTTTGCTCATTGAATTAAAATGGAATAAAAATTTGCTCGTTATATTAATCAGATCATAAATCAACCCATTTTTTTTCCATGTTCAGCCGTATTTCTTTTCCTTGGGGGGTTGATAGGGTTTTCCAAAACTATAAATACACTGGGAAAGTAACCATTATAATTGTCTCTCTTTCGACCTCTTTCTCTTTCAGCATAGAAGGTACTATCCACTAGAATATATCAGAACATAATATTATTTCATCAAAATGGATATGGGAAGTATGGCAGCAGAGCCCGCAGCCTGCAAAATTTCTATGCTTTGGAATTGGAACACTATTGATTCTTGCTTTTTAGCCAGATCATGGCACGTTCATACAAAGGGCCAATTCGCTGGAACCTGTATTGGTATTTTCCTTATTGTTGTAGCTGCCCAATGGTTACATAGAGTCAGTTATGAGTATGATTACGCTATAGTCCAACGTGCTCGTCTTTCAACTAAAGATGACTGTTGTCCTTGTCCAGAAGACAGCGAATCTGTTGGAAAGGGAAGCGATACACCTCAGCACAGTGCTTTACAAACAGCTCCTAATCCATATACCCATGCTTTGTCTCATTCTTGGTTATGGAGACTGCTTCCAGGAATTAGACCAACCCCATCCGAACATATCATTAGAACTGCTTTGTTTGCTATTCAATGGGGGTTAGCTTACTTAATCATGTTGTTCTTTATGTATTACAATGGCTATGTTATTTTCTCCTGTATCTTGGGTGCTTTCTTTGGAAAACTTATCTTTTCTTATACCGAAACCATGTCAGGTCAAGAACATTGCGTAACCAAATGTGGCCATTGAATTTACAAATTTATTTCACTTGTATTTATTCTTTTATATTAATATAACATATACGTTACTTTTTAAAATTTGTTATAATTTGCAACTGAATCTTTTTCTGTAGTCACCGCTGTGATTAAATTAAATCTTCAATTACAAGAATCCTGAAAAATGCGAAACCCCATACACGTCTCTACTACTCTTTCTTCGTGTTTTATTTAACCATAATTAGTGCCAAGCATAATTGATCATCTTCCGTGCTATCATGAAGTATCTATATTATACAGTGGTCAACGTCTCATCTCCCACTAAAGCATTGCTAGTACTAGATGAGGAAGGGAAACTTTACTACGCGTCCCTTGGATCAAACTCAGATCTTTTACGCAAGATTTTAGTGAAAGATTTTCAACCTATCAAGACCCATAAGTTGAAATCTTTGTCTACCATAGGCAAAAGCGATCAAATACAGCTGACAATTGCCAAGTATATTGATATTTATAATGATCCATACCTGACAAATGATGTTATACCCATAGAAATTATATTTGGAACGCTGCTACAGAGGAAGGTATGGGATAAATTATTAACCATTCCTCTTGGAAAAACTATGAATTATTCCAGTTTGGCAGAATCTTTGAATATACCTAAATCAAGAAGGTAGTTGGAAATTGTTGTGGTGCCAATAAAATTGCATTGGTTATTCCATGTCATAGAGTGCTTTCCAAGGATGGAAAGATAACAGGTTATAGATGGGGAAATTCTATAAAAGAGTTTCTATTGAGGCACGAATTGAAACTGAATTATACAAATATTGTTAGGAGCTGAGAGAGAAATATAACTTTATTACACTATTTATTTAATACATAGACGTTATTTAGGCTCTAACGCGTTGCAATTGATCAACACAATCGACAACACTCTTCTTCAATGGAACATATTCAAAACCTAAAATTTCTTTGGTCGTAGAGTAGTTCAATTGTTGCAATTGTTTAATTTCTTCAACATCAGTTCCCTTTTCACCTTTGAAAGTGTTCAAATTTGGGTATTTGTCCGCTAATATGTCATATATAGATTGCGAAGTAAATCTAGATGATGATAAAATTAATCTTCTGCCAACGGCTTGCTTGCTAGTTAATGCAACAATATGGGCTCTGGCGGCGTCTCTGACATCAATGAAACTTCCAACATGGTGTTGTAATTCAGAATCTGGATTCAGATACACGATTTGTTCCAAGACTTGGGATGATTGATTCAAAACAGGTGAAATTAAGGAATCGTCAATTTGTGGACCAAAAGTATAACTTGGTAAAACAGTAACTAATTCATAGTTTGGGTTTTCCCTCTTGACAAAATCCCATGCCAACTTTTCGGCTAATGGTTTGGAACCTAAATAGGCCAAAACTGGGTGAACCTTTGAAGAATCGTAGGTAGCTTTACTCCAGACACTTTCATCAAGCGTAATATTCGGATTCTTGTCATCATTTTCCCTAGCAGCACAATCAGATGAAGTGATCACAACTCGGGAAATTTGAGGCGCGTTGGTTTGAATAGATTTCAAGACATTCTTAGTACCCTCAATAGCCGGGATCAAAGTATCTCTTTCAGGATCAGAAATATTCATTCTAAATGGAGATGCAATATGCAAGAATCCAGTTATTTCTGGATGTTGTTTCAAGACCGCATCGAATGCACCTGGAGTCGAGATATCAGGAATAATAACATAGCTGAAGTTGGAATTGTTTTTCAAGGCTTGAGACAATGATTGGCCTTTGGATTCTGATCTAACTGATCCGATCACTTTATAACCTTGGTCTAATAATTGTTGAACTGTGTGCAGAGCAATGAAACCAGTTGCTCCTGAGACGAAAACTGTTGACATTTTTTTGGATTGCTTGACGTTTTATGCTTTCAGACAGTTTGAAATTGAGAAATGGGATATAATCTTCTGTATTTATAGTCCAAGGGCCGTAGAGGGGATCGAAATGTGTTGGGGGAACTATTGTTTATTGAAAACGAAGCCCAATTGTGTCAGGGATCTAAATTCGGGTATATTTCCCAAATAGGAAATGTATCCCTAGCTGCAATTTTTTTCGGGAAAATTAGTTGCAATGTCTATTATTATAAAACTATACACTTAGCTACTGCCCGTAATTATTATAGTAATTTTTGACTTGTTCAAAACGCAAAGAATTCAAAGTGGGTTCCTTAGCACATTTTTCTTGTTCACAATTTTCGAAATTTTGTAAAAATTCATCGAAATTGATGGAGTCATCTCTCATACTATTCATTGTTTCCATCTCCAAATTTTGGTTAATTTTCGACTTAAGGATTGATTTGTTTGGAAGCTTGGTTTTGCCATTCCTTAAAGAACCTGCCATTATTTCTGTATTGCTTCTTCTCAAGCCAAACTTTTTAGGTAATGATAATGATCTTTCCATCATCTCCTTTTTAGAACGGAATCGAGGGAATGTAAGACTTTTTGAAAGACTACTGAATGAAATCCTTCTCCTTGGTTTGTTAACTGATGCGAATCGTCTTATCCCAGGGTATTTTTTATCAACAATTTCTGAGAATCTGGAGTTATTGGTGGAAATAAGTGGAGAGTCATGATATATTATCATATCGGCATTATTTTCAAACTTGATATTTGTACTTTCGTACATGCTCGACTCCTCTGAATTCAGCCCAAATATGGATATATCAATTGGTGGCTGAGCTTCCTCTCCTTGTTGTGCTGGCTTTGGTGGCGGGGGCGAAAAATATTTGGGAGACAATTGCAGCTTCTTGGAACTAGAAGGTGAACCAGTATTTAATGGGATTTTTAATGTCGTAGTTGTTAAATAGCTTCCAGTGTCTTTGAATTTTCTGGTTTTGAACATCCCAAAAATTCTTTCCATAAGTGATAATTCTTTGTATGATTCCATAATGGATCCTGACACCGTATCATCAAATTCTTCTTCTTCGGAATCTTCATTTTCTTCTTCTTCAAGATACATAGTAGATGGTCCACGATGCAGACGATCATGAAAATCCCCGGCTTTCACAGTTGGTTCCAGATCATACCGCTTGATGGGCTGTGGTTGTTGGATAATATTCCCTTCCAAGATTGAACTAGAAGATATAAAATCGTTATCAAAATCTAAACTTAATGATTCAAAATCAATATTGAAGGACCCTAAAGAACTCAAATCAAACATCAGGGCAGCGTGACATGGTCTATCGTACACCTCCAAACTCAAATTATTTGCAATTTCGGGATTTAAATCTTTTGCCATCAGATGAGGTAGGTCCGGGTGTGATTGATGGTGATCAGTACTAAAAAGGGAGGTTTCATTTGCTTGGCTTGACGTTGGTGAAAATGGTGTATTTGTAAATGTGGAATAGGAAGTTGAATTTGATTTTGTTTCAAAAATATTGCGAATATTGTAAAAAGGTTTCTTGTATTGGGTCCAAGGAGTTTCTGGGGGAGCTGTACTTTCTTGAGAAATTAATTTAATAGATATCATTCCTTTTATGGCTTTAATTAACAAGCATCCGACTTAGATGATGTGAGATAGATGGCAAAAAATAGTTAGTAATCCAATTAGAATAAACCACAAATCGAAATTGAGAAAAAAGAAAATGGCTGCAAAAAATTGGGAACAGGTTTTTTTATTATTTTGATCTTAGCATGCAACAACATGAAACCAGTTAAAGCGAAATCTAATACTTAGCATAGCGTACTATCCCAACTGGAGAAGCCTCGTTTTAATAGTATTCTGCATTCATAAGTTTTAGTTTTCAAGTTAAACTCATCGAAAACGTAAACTTTTGCAGTCCAAAAATTCTGCAGTCCAAAAATAACAAAGATCTTCGCGCGGCGCATATAAATTTCCTAAACTGGAAATGGTAGCTTGCACGACCCACCATTTTTTAAATCAAAATCTTCACTGCGCTTCATTACCTTGTACCTTATAATAGAGAATACAACGAGTGCAAACTATCACCAACCATGTTTTATATCACTGATGATTTGAAATTGGTGATATTAGACTATCACAACTACAACAGGTCGATATCATTTGATCATACAACCTTTAGTACTTGGAGTTATTTTCATTCCATAATCCTGGATATATCATTACCAACTATTGAAAGCATCATCAAGTCTGAAGAAGAGATCAGAAGCAAACTGAGGGTTTCAGTCAATTATCAAACACTATTAGAATATGTCTTGAAATTATATACGCCCCTGGTAGATTTAAATTGTGTGCTTGATTTAGTAACCAATTTTATTGCAATGTTTCATCCCAAACTTCCTATTGTAGATCAAGCTAAATTAGTCGAGGATATTGAACATCTAGGTAATCATTATCAGAGCTCCATCCCCAATGACGGCAGTAATTCACTAGTCTCACAATTTCAACGAATATATTTGACTATAAATAAGTACTCACCCAATAACGTGTTTTATTTGGATGAAATTAATTTATCAATACCATCTACAAACGACCTTATTTCGATTAGTTTACTGGGAAACTTATCTGCCACTGAGATTTTAGATCCATTCGTAGTTTCCAGTATCCCGACATCGCAGCTCAACTACTTCCCGAATGGATTATTTAACCCCTATCACTTGTACATATACCTTTTACGAATTAATTTCCATTTTCATTTACAGAATAGAAAGATTATACTTATCCTTCAAAATAATTGTCGATTAATAGATTTTCAATTCTCAAATATCGAGATATTCTATGTCGATTCCAAAGTAGATAAGTACTTAGATAAACTTTATCTAAAGCTCCCAGATGGCTTTGGATTGAATGATTATGTAACCTATAGATTATCGCAATCAATTCAAAATATTGATAGAGTAGGTGTGATACCGGTTTTATTATACAACTATCACATACTTATGAAATCCCTTGTTGACGATCCAACATTACAACATTTTCATCAATTAAACATCATGAAATCAGGATTCTTGAGGAACTCATTAGATTGCAAATCATATAATCCAAGAATTGTCCCAAAAGGTTTCAAGTTCTCTTTGGACGGGATAGAACATAAAAGTGTTATAATGGATTATAATTATGGTATTATGGATTTATATGACATAATTCATAAGTTATCGAATTTCGTAATTCCAAACCCAATTTCTTTTGATTTTGCAAAAGTTAATAAATTCTTTATGTCAGATCTTTTGCCAATGCTATCGGATTCAGGAAAGTCAGATTTGTATTTTAAATTCATGCTACTATATAATGATATTAAACAAGAAAATCAGCCTTCAATGGATCCGCCAGGTATTATAGAAAAACTTACGCCACCACAGATTGAAATTGCTTCAGAAAATCGTGAATTGTTTAGGCAAACATACCTTATAAATCAAGAAATTTCCGGTGATAGACATATTGACAGGTCAAACTTCCTATCAACATTGTATGAAGAAACTGTCACGTTCCGTAATGATATTCTCAGCAATGGAGCTGACAGCAATGTCGAGAAACGGGTCTCAGATTCCCATATAAATTCAGAGATGTCTAATGGATTGGAGTCTCAAAAATCAACATCTTCGGAGATGACACAATTTTCTCACACGACCATAAGGCTCCCCAAAGATACAGCAACAGTGGCAATGCTCGAGTCTAACAAACCATCTGTGCCAATTGAAAACCAGCCACAAATACCTAACTCTAAGAGGAAACTTTCTACAGAATTAGAGTGTCCTGTCACTATCAAGAAATCGAAGATTATTGAATCATTCAGCGAAGCAGACTTAGAATTTATTGGACCAGAGGATGAAGACGAGGAAGAGGGGTCAGCAACGGCCGAAACTACGGAGGACTCATTTGCAATTCAAACTATTAGAACGAAATATATCCCCTCTTCTTCAAATTCAACCAGTGCAAATGGGACCAAGATCGATAACACTTCCATGCTTAGTAATGGCAATCATGATGGTTTTGTGGGAAGTATTTTCGATGGTGAGAGCTTCTCAAAGCTGAAGGCTGATTCAACACATGCTTTGAACGATCAAATCGAAGGAAAGGAAACCGGACCAGCAGTACAACGTAAGGCTGTTAATAGTTCACCAATAGTAGAGCAAATGGAGAAGCTGGAAATAGCTGCGAACGTTGGCCAATTAGATGCGGATAAGAATGAAGTGGGACTGATCCAAGAAGAAGAAATCGAGTCTCTGGTGGATGAGGGAGAGGAACAAAACATTTCGCCAACTGAACTGGAAGAATATGAAGAATCAGAATCAGGATCAGAATCAGATTCAGAAGAGGAAGAGTCAGTAGATGAAGAGAACAAGCAACAAACTGAGGGTGACAAAATCATCGAGTCAAATGTAGAGGAAGAAACAGAAGAAAAAGAGAAGGCTGCTGCAGAAAATGGTATCCCAGAGAAGTCCAGAAATGATGTGTCAATTGGAGGAATAATCAAGAAAGTGCACGAAGAAAGGGACGATGATGTCGATGGGGCGGTCGTTGAAAAGAAAGACAAAGAATTAGTCAAAGGGGAATCCACAGTGGAAGCCAACGAAACATCCGAATCAGAAGAATCAGGAGAGGGATCCGAAGATGAATCTAATGAAGAATCTGGAGAAGGGTCCGGAGAAGAAGAAGAGTCGGATTCTGAAGATCTGGAAGAGGAATCGTTGGAAGCATCCAAAGAACAAAATGGGAATTTGCCCATATCCATGTGTATCTCAGAAGCAGTAGATGCAATGGAAATGGACGAGGAAATCCACAATGAAAACGAAGTGGAACTGGCAGAAATGGATATAGACGAATCATCATCAGAAGAGGTGTCAGATGAAAGTGAATCCGAATCAGAAGAAGAAAGAAATACTCAAAAACTAGTGGAAGTCCTTGTCGGTTCTAAGAGACCCCTTGTTGCAAATATTCAAGAGATTAATACTTGTGGCATTACAGTAGCCAATACAAAAGATTCTAATAGTGAACCAAGCTCTGATGAAGAAGAGGACGAAAGCTCTGAACGCTCTGGTGATGAGGAAATGTCAGATAGTAGCACAGGGGCAAAGTCTGGAGATGATGATGATGATGAAGAAGAAGAAGAAGAAGAAGAAATAAATAAAACTCCAGTTTTAGTCGCGCCGATTATCCAAAATAGACTGGGCAGTGAACTTCCAAGTATTATTAAGCTGAATCAAAACCCACTTTTATCCAAGAGTAATCGATCCCAATCGGTTACTCCTCCATCAAGTGCAATTTCTTCCACGACCCCACTCAATCGGAAACCGATAGCATCATTGATGGACCTCAAACAACCAACCACTACCATCGAAACGAAATCGACACCAATGAAATCTTCCAGCCCTTCTAAGTCGAAAATATTCAGAATGTCAAATGATTCCGACAGCAGCAGTAGTAGCGAAAGTGAGAGTGAAAGTGAAAGCGAAAGTGAGAGTGGAAGTGAAAGCGAGAGTGAGAGTGGAAATGAAGAGAACAAAAGTGTGGCCGATAGCGGGGAAATAAAGGTTACTTCGGCTGCAGTTGTTTCGGGCAAAACGTCAAATTCTGACAAAATTGATTCCCGAAATAGCGATGAAGATAGCGATAGTGGAAGTGGAAGTGGAAGTGGAAGTGGAAGTGGAAGTGGAAGTGGAAGTGGAAGTGGAAGTGATAGTGATACAGATAGCGATAGTGGAAGTGGAAGTGGAAGTGGAAATGATAGTGATAGTGAGAATGATAGTTCCAGTTCTTCGGAAGTAGACGACGTGGCATCAAAGAAGGAAATCAACGTAAGTGGCGCAAGTGCCAACCAAATTAAACCTGATAATAGCATTGACCCAAATACTGCGAACATCAACAACAATGGCCTTGACAGTGGCAGCGAAGGGGACAGTGAGAGCGAGGGCGAGAGTGGCAGTGACAGTGATAGTGATAGTGATAGTGGCAGCGACACCGGATCAGGCGAAGAAGAAGACGCAGAAGAGGTTGCTAACCTCAAAACAACGACCCAAGAATATCAGAGCAAATCGAGTGGAAATGGTAAAGTCAATCAGCAAATTACTACTGAAATGAGTAAAAATGAAACAGATAGCGAGCTGGATAAAGATATGAGTGATGCCAGTGACAGTGAGAGTTCATCCGATGAAGAAGATCAAGAGTTGGTAACTGAAGAGAAAACAAATAGGGCCGACAAAGAAAGCGTTGTAGGAACAAACGGTGCAACTGACAGCGATGGTAGTAGTAGTGAAAGTAGTGGTGATAGTGCTAGTGACAGTTCATCAGAAGAAGATGAAATGCCGATTTCTCAAAGAGTGAGACATGATCTGTTTACTGGATCTCAGGAAACAAAGTCCCGGCAAAATATGAGAATAATTAACCACAAGAAGAAACAAAATACAGATGGTAATCTCGATACTTCAGAAAGTGATCATCTGTCAAGTGAAGAAGCCGATTCCGATGATTCCATTGGTTTTTAATAAAAGTAAGTCATTTATTTATAGTTCGTATTTATATATTCTTTAAAGTTTAATAGATAAAAGCAATATCTTGATTCCGAATTCTACCGAAGTCCGAGAGAAGAATTATTTTTTTGTTCAATTTGCGTCCCGCCAATTAATTTTAAAATTAAAAACAAAAAAAAAGAAACCAAAAAAAAAAATTTTCATTTTTTATATAAAGGGTTATTGATATCCTTTTTGTTCACACGATTGTTACACATTTGTTAATAAAGAAAAAGAGAAAAGATCACTAAGAGACAAGATGAAGCTCTTTGAATCAGATCATTACTTTAATTATCCATGGGAACAAGTAACAGCCGCTAATTGGCAAAAGTATCCCAATGAATTATCAACTCATGTCATTTCAGTAGATATCTTACTGAGATCAATAGACCCAAAAACTCAAGTTCTTCGGTCAGAGAGATTAATCGGTTGCAAACAATCAATACCAAGTTGGTTACAATTTATAGTTGGTGGAGCCAGTGTCAGTTATGTTCGAGAGGTTAGTGAAGTTGATTTAGTGAATAAAACATTGGTTATGAAATCATCCAATTTGACGATGAATCATTTATTATTGGTGAATGAAACTGTTGTATATAAGCCAGATCCTGAATTGCCTACACAAGGAACTTTATTTAAACAAAGCGCCGAAATCACGGCATTTGCTTCCATTAGTAGATTATGTGATAAGATTGAAGATTGGTCAGTTGAAAGATTTGGTCAAAATGCAAAAATTGGTAAACAGGCATTTGAAGGTGTTTTGCAAGTATTAAATGAAAAATGGCAAGAGAATGGAGTTTTTGAAACTAAGAATAATGTTGTTTCTGAAGTTCAAAGATTAATGCAATAGAGAATTTCAATTTGATGGTTTGTGGTTAAGAAGAGCTCGTTCATTCCGAAAATTCCATTTCATACCATACCATATCATAAAAAAAACATTACATGGCGAGGCTTGTCTATACAGAATGAGTCTTGTCTTCTGCATACCATCTCCTTTTTAGTTTAGGGAGTGGCCAAAAAAAAAAAAGAGTTTGAATAGAGTGCTACATGTATATATCTTTCTTGGAAGGGACGGGGAATGAATATTACCGAGAATATTGACTTGTGGTTTGTTTGTTTGTTTTTGTTTAGCTACGTTAAAAATTTGGTTTCCCTTTTATTTCATGTTTATTATTAGATTCTTATTGGTGGTGTTATTAGTTATGTTCATTTCGCTTGTATATAAAGAATTTGAAAATTATTTATTAATATTTATTTTTTCACATGCATTTTTAAATTTACTGTAGATCTTTCTCTAATTTGGTAAAATGTCTTGCGCATCTTGAAATATTGCGCTTTTGAAATTTTGTGTTGCAAAAACAAAAATGGATTTCAATTTAGGGAATGGTTGCAAGTTGAGGTAATCTGATACAACGCCATGAGTTAGCACGAAGTCCAGTTGAAATATTCCCGTTAGAGGAGAATAAGTAGTTGTCAAAGTAGAAATTACAGAATTTGTATTGATTTCTGGAAGTATTTGCATCATTTACAAGGGTGATTGAAGGAAAGAGAGCATTCTGAATTCATAAACAGGAAGTCATTGATTTGTTTCTACATACAGAATATCATTATTTAACTAAATATCTTAATCCTCTTCTTCACCATTTTTCTCTTCATCATTTTTATCATTTCCATCATTATCATTATCTTTCAGAACCTTTTCATCATTCTCATTCTCTTCCCTAACATTCCATTGACATGATAAATCCCATCTTGATCCTTTCGCATTGATACTCACATACTTTATGAATTTCAAAACAGAACTATCTCTAAGCATCAATGTCAATACATTAAATCTACAGGGACCACCATATAACAAGCTATCGGCACTTCCTGCCTTATAAATCGCTGGATCGTCATCATCATCCTCCTCCTCTTCGACTTCTTTTTCCGCTTTCTCTGGGGCGTCCTCTTCTTCATCCTCATCCTTTGTAGTAGTAGTAGTTTCCACACAAAGTTCATATCCTCCTACATCTTTCCAATTTTTAGGATTGGCAGCCGATGGAGTTATATTAAGGGTTGCTTCCAATAATACATTCTCATCTTTTGGTGTAAGTGTAACATCATTAGGTATAGTAGTTCCCAAAGTAAAATCGATCCCGGGTCTAAAACGACGAATAAGGATTTGATCTGAAGTTGTGACAAATGAAGTTAAAGTTTTCAACCATTTTTTAAAACTCATTGATTTGAATAAATTAGCAATTTCAACAAGTTTAGCATCAACTTCATTTGAAGTTGGAACTTGGGAGAAGTTTGGATATTCTTGTGGACCAATGTTATTACGAAATTCAATAGCCGATTGAGTGATGGGGAAAGAACTAGTTCCATCAATATACATAAATCTATGTTTATGAGGTGGGATTGCACATTTCCAAGGGTGGGCAATATCGGTTGATTTTGTAGGTGATGGTGAATTTAATTCAAAATCACGAATAATGGTTGAAAGAACATCCGAATATTTAGGTTGTAAGAAATCTGAAAGTTCTATAATTGATTCGTTTAAAAACAATCTTCTTAATTGAAATAAATTTGGAGTTGAAAGATATTTAACATTGATATATTTAGAAAGATATTCAATATCTTGTTGAAATAAGGTTGTTGAAGGGGTTGTCAAAGATTTGATTTCTTCTTGAGGGAATTGTAATCTAATTGGTTTTGGGAAATCAAATTCTTGCAATTGCTTTGATTGTAATTGTTGTAATGTTGATTTTGCTTCAGTTTCTTGTTGTTCACCTTCAATATAACCATCTTCACCTTTTTGAGGAATATGAAACCAACCTTGAATAGATAATCTTTGCTTATCTTCTCTTACTTCTTCTACATCATGAAATGATAAACCTGGTTGAACGTTAAAAAACGCAATTTGATTAAATTGAGGTACTAATTTTGCATGATGATCAGTATGAGGTACATTTGGGACAATACTTGGATATAATCTTAAACCACCACCATATTGTTCTTTCCAAATTCTATCAGGATCGGGTAAATATAAGATAAAACTAACTCTACGAGATCCAATTACATCATCATGAGTTAATAAATGACAACCTTTTGTATAAGTATTAATTGACATATCAGTTTTTGATCCACTAAGTTTACCACAACCAGTAACAGTTGATATGACATCACGAAATTCTTGAGAATAAATTGCATTTCTTAATTGGAATAAATAAGGTAATCTACTTAAATCATCCCAATCTAAACCTGATAAATTAGCTAAATCACCTGATTGAAAGACTTTATAAATATCAGTTTCTTTTTCAGTGAAATGAATTTGAGAAAGAATCTCTTTACGTACTTGACGTAAAAGATCATCATTCATAAGTTCTTTTATAGTACCCCATTGATAAGGTTTACTTTGTTTTATTTCAAGTGATAAATCTTGTTGAAATTTATTAGTCCATAATTTAGGTTGAAAACAAGATTCTGGAGTTTCAAAACTAGATGGAGCAGGAGTAGTTGATTGTTGTCTTTTGGAAGGTTTAGTCTCTTTGTCTAACGATCTCTTTGTCATTGTAACGAAGATAGTTATACCTTTAATTTGTAAGCTCCAAAAACAAAGAAAGTTGGAAAGCTATGAGATGATTGAAAATTAATTTTTTTTTTAATGAGAAAGAAAGAACGAGAGAAGTGAGCTTACTGAAAAATTATCCTGCATATAATCAGCATAAGGATTGATTGAAGAAATATTTTATTGCCTGATTTATTTTAAATAGATTTATTCATTACCTGCACCTTTATTGATTTGTCATATTAATATACATAAGTATTGTAAATTAAGAAATGATGTAAATTTGTAGTATAAATAACAAACCGTTATAATTTATTGTTAAAAATAGAATTGTTAAATAAATATTTATTCATAAATTAGCCCAGTCCATTTTTTTTACGATGACTCAATTTCATATTCTGATTTATTTTAAGTTAATTTCTACTTGTGTACTTGTATTATTAGTATATTGTAAAGTAGGCTTTCAATCTTAGAATAATTATATGATCCCTTCTTGATACAGAATCTCCTACTACTACCAATCAACCAACTACTTACTAATTATAATTAAGACAAATCTTCAATTATATTACACTAAACATTTTCACCGGTACCGGTTTCTTTCTTTTTCCGGGTTTGACTCATTTTTTTTTTTTATTCCGATAGTAATATAACCATTTAAAACAGAAAAAAAAAAATTTCACTATCATATATTTCTTGTTCTTCTTCTTCTCTCTTTCTTTCTTTAGTAAGATTTAAAAGAAAAGTGTTTAGATCATGTCATCAGCATCATCTGTTCCATCTACTCCTGCATCAATAAGATCATACAATTCAGTATTGGATTTCCAATCTAATAGATGGATAATCCAAAAATTCGGTGGTACTTCTGTTGGTAAATTCCCCGAGAAAATTGTTGATAAAATCATTAAAGAATATTCAAAGACAACTAGATTAGCAGTAGTATGTTCTGCTATATCATCTAATACAAAAAGTGAAGGAACAACTTCTAGATTATTACGAGCTGCTGAATTAGCTTCAAGTAATGAAGATTATGCCAATATCCTTCAATTGATTGAACAAGATCATATTAAAATGATTGATTTAAAAATCCAATCATCTGAAATAAAACAAAAACTTGTAAATGATATGAAATATGAAATTAAACATGCTGGTGAACTTTTACATGCTTGTCAAATTATTGGAGAAATTAGTCCAAGATCATTAGATACAATCATGTCAGTTGGAGAAAAATTATCATGTTTATTTATGGCAGCATTAATGAAAGATCAAGGATTAAATTCAATCTATTTAGATTTATCTCATCTTATCCCATTAGATTATAATTTTAAAAATGGATTTGATGAAACTTTTTATAAATTCTTATCAAATGAACTTGGGAAAAAAATCTCGGCTTTAGATTCCGATGTAATTCCAGTTCTTACTGGATATTTTGGTATAGTCCCAGGTGGATTACTTAATGGTATTGGAAGAGGTTATACTGATCTTTGCGCTGCTTTGGCAGCAGTAGGTATTCAAGCTGATGAACTTCAAATTTGGAAAGAAGTTGATGGAATCTTTACTGCCGATCCAAGAAAAGTTCCAAATGCAAGATTATTAGATAGTGTTACTCCTGAAGAAGCTGCAGAATTGACTTATTATGGAAGTGAAGTTATTCATCCATTTACAATGGAACAAGTTATTAAAGCTAAAATTCCAATTAGAATAAAAAATGTTGATAATCCAACTGGTAAAGGAACGATTATTTATCCTGACAATTTGGGTAGACGTGGTGAAGCTACTCCACCGCATCCACCAGTAGCTTTTGAAACTTTATCAAGTTCTTATATTATAAGTCATAAAAAGAAATCAGCTACTGCAATTACCGCAAAACAAGATATTGTTGTAATAAATATTCATTCCAATAAAAAAGCCCTTAGTCATGGTTTCTTAGCTCATATTTTCACCACCCTTGATAATTACAAACTTGTGGTTGATCTTATTTCTACTTCAGAAGTTCATGTTTCAATGGCACTTTCCATCCAATCAGAACAAGAATATCAACTTAAAAATGCATTGACTGAATTAAGAAAAATGGGTAGTGTTGATATTACTAGAAAAATGACCATTATTTCTTTAGTTGGTAAACAAATGGTAAATTTCATTGGAATTGCAGGAAATATGTTCAAAATCCTTGCTGATGAAAAGATAAATATTGAAATGATTAGTCAGGGTGCAAATGAAATTAATATATCCGCAGTTATTAATGAAAAGGATACATTAAGGGCATTGAGAAGTATTCATGCAAAATTGTTAGAAGGAAATTATGAAGAAGAAGGAGCTATAGACGTTAGATTGGAATTATTGAGAATGGGAGCATAAAGCACCAATACGCTTTTAATAGAAAGATAAATATATAAATTATATAAATATTAAACAAGTATTTAAAAACACATAGACAATATTAAAAATAGAAATTGAAACAAAAACTTACAAGTCGAAATCACCCGATTCAGGACCACTAGTATCTTTATTAGAAATTTTAGCATTCTCTTCAATTAATGATTCAAATTCACCAACCATACCTCCCAATAATTCACTTGCTAATTTATGATATGCCAATTGGGCTTTAATCAATTCTAAAAATTCATGTAATGGTTTTGCATTTTCCAATACATTTTGCATGATATTAATTGCATCCTCAACAGTGTTTGCAAATTCATCTTCTGCATTCTCCATGACAACACGAAATTGAGGTTCCTTGGCTGGATTAGTACAATTTCCAAGATTTACTCTTGCCAAATCATAATCGATTCTTTTTTGTTCAACTTTTCTTTGAATATTATTTGATTGAGAAATTAATGATCGAAGGGTAGTTGTTAATGGTAAATTAAATTTAGTTTTAATTAATTGATCTTGTCCAATTCTTGCATTGGCAATCTTATTAATATTGGTAGAATATATTTCTAATCCTTTTCTTAAAACATCATCATTATTACTTCCATCTACTTCCCCTAAAATTTTGGGATCAGTGGCACGTGATAACGCATGATAGAAAGTCTTTGGTGGTCTATATTCTCCAGCATGTGGATCTACCAAAGCTGCTTGAGCTTCTTTAGTTGAAGTAGCCTTGGTTAACGCCTCAACTCTATCAGTTATACCTTTACCCCAATCCCCCAATGATTCTTGTAAATTCAGAGGATAATCATAAGTTTCAGTTTCATAGGAATTAGTGATCTTCAAGACTTTCTTATACAATCCTTCGAGCATATTACATTTATCTGCCAAAGCAGTATATTCAGCTGGAAGTTGGGAGATATCTTCAGAATTGACCTTACCAATTCTTTCTTGAACCAAACGAGTGGTCCGGTGAGCCAATGGGAGAACTTCAGTATTGAATTCAGTCAGAATTTTATCAGTCAACGATTTGAATTCTTTAGTGAAATTATTAAAGTTGAATGACATGATTGATGGGAAAATTGTCGGGTGATGAATTTGGTTAAGTTTCTTTAATTGATTGAGTAAAATTTAAGGAGAGTGGTTAGGCGAAGGAGGTTTTTGGAAGAGAGCCCCGTTGGGTTTTTTTTTTTGCCTTTGACAAAAGGTAAATGTCGCCAATCTGTCAGAAAAATAAAACAGTTATTAACGACATTGGTAAAATCAAACTACTAAAACTTGTTTCGATCCTGCCATAGGAAAGAAGTTTCTGATTTATTTTAATATATAATGTGGGTAATTTGTACTTCCGTTCTAGTGTGATGGGAGTATGCATATTGAATTCATTGAAAATATCCTTCTAATGCACAACAGATCTTGTGTGAGGGCATGTCGAGCGTTAACCATGTTCGGGAGCCCAGCCCTCTTCTCGTGGAGGTGTTGTATTTACCGGTTTTTCAGTTGGTATAACTGTCACAGGTTTGACTAGTTGTGACAATAACTTATAGCTAAAAATACTAAGGATCTTGTGTCCCCTTTATGTTGATTATTAACTTTAAGTACTGGTTGTATTATCGATCTTATCTGATAGCTTCTTGAGCTACTCTGCAATAAGGATCAATAAGAATTTTATAGTTATGCGAGTTGTCACACAAAAACAATAATATATATTTTTTTTTTTTTTTACAAACTAGACATGTATTGAAATATATACTGTACAAAAAAGGTTATATACAATACCTTCAAAATAGCCTAACAAAAAATCGTACCGAAAATTTTAAAAGAAGTTGAGGTCTCGTAGTCGAGAAGACCAATAACGGGCTTCATCCTCCGTAAGTAACCGTGGTTCCGAGGAGCCAAACCGTCGCAAACGCCAAAGACCATAAACTAGCTTGATATAAGTATTGAAGAGTTTGTACTCTCTCAGCAAACACTTCGCATTATAAATAATATTGGGAAGTTCCAAATCAAGCGAACAGTGAAACATGTCACATACTAACCGCCAGATCATAGAACTCACCGGGCAATGGAAAAAAATATGCTCAACAGACTCCTGAACTTGGTGTAAACAGAAACAACAACCAGACCAACATTCGTAAGTGAGAGTCGTAGTACCAGCTGTAATATACATATTGTTGAAATACCCAATATGAAACAACCAAACAAAGGAAACCAGTTGAGGAGATTCACGACGAATTTCAATAATATAATATTATAAAATAAACACTAGTTAACTAAAAGAAAGTAATATAAAAACTATAAAAAATAAGTCTCAAACAATTCTCGTAAATATATTCTTGAAATTCTCAATTACGTCACATGACCTAAAATAGTTCTAAGAAACAACAGAGGAACCGTGCACATCCCCAATAAGGGCTCTGAACGTAAGCTACTGGTACATATCCAATCCAGTTTTATATAAGGTACGAAATTTCCAATAAAGTTTCTTACTCCCACATAGTTTCAGTCAGAAATTTGCTTAGACTTTTCCACTAGCACGTTACATTGTGAAAGTTTACACTTTGAGAAGGAACCGAGCGTATAACGGAGAATCTCAGTACTGTGGGTTATTGCACATTATTCTCTCAGATAGATGGGGTTACAAGCAATACTTTATAATAATACATCCCATGTCAATTCCATAAACCAACCAGGGCCACTAAATCACATTCTAACTATCTCGCAAAGCCTTATTGTAAATATGAACAGCGCAACAGCAACCTTTCTTACAGAATGCTTTTCCATCCCTCTTTTGATATGATTTGCATCCTTTTTTCTTTCTGTCCCACAATGTATTCTTGATATAACACCTATTTTAACTACTTGCCTTCATATTTTTTGAAACCTTGTATTGTCTAAGTATTACTTCAGGTTTTCTAAAAGAAAATCCATGGATAAGGGGGGCAGGGGGGCAGGGGAGGGGGCGTTGTATTTTTTGTAAAAAAAAAAAACCGACAGTTATGGACGTGGGAAGTTTAGAACCTTATGCATGGCGGCAAAAATTATCCACTTCTACATGATTTGTATCCATCAATTGAACTTGGTTACATTATTGGAATAAACATGACAACATTAGAAATGGAAGTCTTAGACTTTTTCCCATGAAGTTAACCATTGCATGTGCCTGGTTTCATCTAGCATTTCATCATCCAACAAACTTTGAGCTACAGTTTTCACCAAGGAAGAGTATCCTAAGGATATGGCAAATTCAACATACGATCACATTTCCAACACATGGCTTGGTACGTAAAGAATCTTTTAAGACAAAATTATCATCAAGTTACTTCATAGTTTTGGGTCAATTATTCACTAAAATTTACCATTAAACTTAATTCGAACCTTGGGTTTTTATGAGGTTCATCGCTTCAAATTATTCTAATGGTTTGTCAAAACATTCACTCTCTGAATTTTCTATAAATAATCTTATAAATCCCCCCTTTGTAGAGTCTATCCATAATTTCTATCAAGTTTAATAACATCAACTATATTCATTAAAGCACTAAAAAAATAAAAACCGTTATTACACAAACACATATCTAAAAAATAAAAAATATGCAACTCACGTTATTACTGGTACTTTTTTCGCTTACTATTTTCAGACATTGTTTGGGGTTGATTGAAGTTAATGAACCAACTTATGTATATGGTATCCAGCTTTCAAGCGAGGAATATATAATTAGCGAGAATGCATTCATCAGTTTTCAAATGGTTGCCACTATACATTCAGAACTTGCTGCCGATGTAACAAATCATGGTGGATTTTTTGTTACAGTAACGTCAAATTCATTCAATTATGGTGCGATAGTTGGATATTTACCATTTCTTTGGCTTGAATTTACAGACGGTTCGTTTATCAACACTGGTGTTGTACTGTTCGACTCATTACAAACAAGCACATCTGCAAGTTTTAGCATTGCCCTAAAAAACTTTTCAAACAGCGGATCCATATTCTTTGCCCTGGACGGGCGGACGGGTACTCCAACCCAAGCAATAGAGGCCGCCAATTGGAAGAATACTGGTTTAATAAAATTTATTCAACGAGTCCGTGGATCTGGATATGTCCTGCTCAATTATGGCACAGTAATGACTCAGGAAGGGGCTATATATATCCAAAACCAAAGCTATGTACAAGAAGCCGGAATTGTCGGGGGTGGATGTTTTATTCTTCAGGGCGACTCACTACTACATCTCACGTCCAGCATAGCCGATTTCGATCAAACAATTGTTATGGATGGAACATCTGCACTGGTGATAGCTGATCTAAATGGCTTTGGTAGAAAGGGAAATATACCTTATAAAGTTGTCGGGTTTGGGAATGGAAATAAGATTGGTGTAAATCTTGGCCTTTTATCCAACTATTATAGTTATGATCCAAACACTGGTTATTTGAAATTAACAAGCACTGCTTTCGATCAAATTTATTATGATATTGGTAAGGGTTACCAACAGGCCAATTTTCAAAAGGCAGGGACCGCTGGAGTGTCCAATAATGCTGTTGCATACATGGGACCCATTCCCGAGGAATCAAACCAAATAACTTGTATTGCTGACGAAGAACTTCCTGAAGACCCCGGAGCTACCCCAAGGTTAGTGACAACTACTGTATCGGATTCACAAACTACTCAAACGTTAGAAATATTATACACTACTCAACTGGGTTCATGGACTGAGATCACCCGAACGTTACTCTCAACTAGTTATACTACTACGTATCTCAATACCCAGGGAGAAACCAAGACAGGAAGAGTGGAAATTGATGATGCAAACAGTATCTCTACCACAAGTCCATTTGAATCTACTGCTTATACGACCACCTATGTAAATGAAGATGGTGAAACTAAGACTGGCGTAGTAGAGGTTGTTACAACTGATGATGGTCTTTGGATGACAACCACTAATTTTAATTACGACGAGCCTCATGCTTCCACTGATGATGACGAAGAGGAAACAAACGATCAAAATATCACAAGTTCGGACGAGGATGCTGATGCCACGACTGAAGCCGGAGCCATAGATTCCGACATTACTGATTTGAAAGACACTGAATCATGTACTGGAACTGACGACATTGTAACCATGGAAGAGGGTGATACTACAGCCATTGATTTCGAAACTATGGAAACCGAATTCACTGATTTGACGGAAGACGAATCATCTGCTGGAACTGACAACATTCGAACCATGGAAGATGATGATAATGCAACTGCTGATGCAGGAACCATGGAATCTGAATTCGCTGATTTGAAGGAAGACGAATCATCTGCTGGAACTGACAACATTGGAACCATGGAAGATGATGATAATGCAACCGCTTATGCCGGAACCATGGAATCTGAAGTCACTGAATTGAAAGACGCAGAGTCATCTGTTGGGGCTGCCGAAATTGAAACCGGGGAAGACGATGATAATATACCCATTGAAGTCGAAACCACAAAAACTGAACGCAGCGAATTGACAAGCGCAGAATCATCTAGAGGATCTGAAATTGTTACTACTGATGAAAATGAGAGCTCTAAAACTACCATTTTTGACTTCGAAGCGACAGCTTACACCACTAAATATATTGACGGCGATGGTTCTACCAAGATGGGCGTTGTTGTCGTTACAACTGATGAGAACCAGAGATGGTTAACTACGACACTGAACTTGCATCAAATCGTGTACACCACTACGTATATCGATGAAGAAGGTAACACAAAGACTGGAATTGTTGTGATTTCCACTGATGAAAATGAGAGTTGGTACAGTACTACCCTGGAGTTCAAACCGACATCTTATACCACTACATATACTGATGCAGATGGTTCCACTAAGATGGGGGTTGTTGTTGTTAATACGGATGATAGCGCAAACTGGTACACTACCGTCCTTGATGACAGTATGGACACGACCACTTATGTTAATGAAGATGGTGATACAAAGACAGGCTTGGTGATTGTTACAACAGATGACGATGAGAACTGGTACACAACGACTCTGAACTTTGAAGCAAGGTCTTATACCACTACATATACTGATGAAGATGGTTC